ATAATTATGTTAGAATAATAATGATGATGATGATACTGATGATAATAATAATAATGATAATAATAATAATAGTAATAATTAATAATAATAATAATAATAATAATAATAATAATGATGATGTGATGATGATGATGTATAATTTGATAATGATAATATAATGATAATGATAGAAATAATTGATAAATAGTGATAATGATGATAACCAAATAATAATAATGATAATAGTGATAATGATAATAACCATAATAATGATAATAATAATAATCATAACAACAACAATAATGATAATAATAATCAGAACATTCCTTACCAAGGCCAGCTATACTAAGCACTACCTCTCCTTCTTCTCCAGGATTCAACCGGTCGATCCCCGGTTCTCCCGGTTCTCCATGACCGGACCGGAAGCTGATGGGGTCCACAACCTCAAAAATACAGAACGTGACACTCGAGGACGACGGTGCCTACCAGTCCAAGTGACACCGCAAAGGGGACGCGGCTGTATCGACACGCTGCGATGTTGATGTCTTGATGAGTGTATTTGTGTCAAGGAAGGGGGAGAGGGGTGGAAGGGAAGGGAGAGAATAAAGGAAAGGTGAGAGAGTGAATAAAGGAGGGAGTGTAGAGAGGAGAGAGGGAAGACGGGAAGAGGAGAGGGGGCGGGAAGGGAGAGAATAAAGGAGGAGGTACGAGGGAGAGGGAAAGACGGCGAGGAGGAGATGGGAAAGACGAGAAGAGGGTGAATGTATGAGTGTATAGAGGAAGGCGAGAGGAAGGTAGAGAATAAAGGAGGGGTGGAGGAAGAGGAGAAGGTATGAGTGTATAGAGGACAGGAGAGGAGAGGAAGATAGAGAATAAAGGAGAGGTGAGAGGGATAAGGAAATACCGGGAAGAGGGTGAAGGTATGAGTGTATAGAGGAAGGCGAGAGGAAGATATAGGATAAAGGAGGGGATGGTGGGAGGAAGAGGGAAGAGGGAGAATGTGTTGAGTGTATTAGGGAAAAGGAAAGGGGAAGAGGGAGGGAAGGAGATAAGGAGGGATGAAATCTGAGGAGAAGAGGGAGAGGAAGAAGAAATGAAGGAAGGAAGATACAGATTACAGATAGAGATAGAGAGAGAGAGAGAGAGAGAGAGAGATCGAGAGAGAGAGAGAGAAGAGAGAGAGAGAGAGAGTGAGAGAGAGAGAGAGAAAGAGAGAGAGAGAGATGCAGAGAGAGAAATAAGGAAGGGAAGTATTATAACTGTTTTTAAAATGCGGATTGAATTGGAAATCACTTTATATCCAGAAAAGAACAATTCATTATATCCATTCATATTTTGATTTTTTGATTTGGATCTAGGCTTATCGCACAAGAGTGGTATGAATAAGAGAAAAAAAAATCATTATCAATATTAACCTCTAAAACCATTACTTCCGGAGATTCATTTTTTCCCACCGCCCAAAGAGCTTAGCCAAAAAAAAAAAAAAAAAAAAAAAATCCTCAAGCCGATTTAAAAATAGATTAAAATACCTCCGGTACACAGAAAGCGATTTAGCAGCCAGAGAGGCATTTCGCGAGCGCCCACACGAGAAAACGGAATAAGTAAAGTACCAATCTAATTAGCTGACAGCCTCCTCCTCCCCCCCTCCCTCCCCAACTCCTCCCCTTTCGACTTCCTTCTGGGCTCAGAGAGGTCGTTCCTTTGGTCAACAGCCAGCTGTCTCCTCGCTCTTGAGGAAGGACTCTCTCATTAACTTCAAAGGGGGGAAGACGACCCCAAGTTCGTCATTGTTTGTGCCCATCAAATACCTCGGGCCAAGCCTCCCTCCCTCGGCTATATTTCTCCGATCTTGGATTCAACATCGACCTCAGTTCTCCTGGCCCTTGGGGGGTCGCTTGAAATAGTTTGTTTCCCGGGGTTATTATATTTTTTTTTCGCTGGGTTTTTGCTTTCATTTTGCGGGGTCCCTACCTCACTCGGGCCAGACTTCACCTAGGCCAGTGACAAGTTGCCTTGGTTATAATATTTTTATTTTTTTATTTTTATTTTTTGGCTACAATACACGTTTTTTTTTTTTTTTTTTTTTTTTTGGCGACAATACACTTTAGTCTCAGTCCGCTCTGTTTCAATCTATTTATTTCGGCCACATTTCACCATAGCCACGATTGACTTAGGCCTACAATTCACTTTGGACACGATTCAGTTTAGCCACAATATACCTTGACCACACGTCACATAAGCCACACTTTACCCTGGCTACACTTTATTGAGCCATACTTCACCTGTTTTGCAATAGGGGAGGTCACTCTATGTAGGATGGCAAGAGTGCATACAAATGAGCAGAGGTTATAGTACAACAGAAAGTTTTAAGCATGAAAAAAAAAGTTTTAAAAACTCATACGAAGAGACCGTGAAACAAAGATTTAAAAAGAAAACTTTAATAGCTTGTAAAAAAGAAAAAAAAAAAAAAAAAAAAAAAAAGTTTTGATATTCCAAAAAGTTAGGAAGATAGTTCATGGGTCTAATTTCACCCTTAGTGCCCCAAGCGAGTTAGATATTATTAGATGGCGAGGTTTCCCGACTGAATGTGACAAAGACTAAACGTTTATAATTAGCTGCCTGTGCGTTTATAACAGGCTGTGACCTCCTGCTATGCGGATTTTCCTCGAATACTATTTCATTCACGTTTCCCCCCCGAGTATAAAGTATCACGTTTTGGCTATAAATCTAGTTTAATAGATATAAAAAGATCTGTCTGGCTGGATTTATGGTCTAATGGTAGCGGGCGCGAGGAATTCAAATGTTATTGTCTCCTCCGAATTGCTAAGATTTGTGTGAACATGGTGTTTCTCGGGTTGTGTGCGTGCGTGTGTGTGTTGTGTGTGTGTTGTGTGTGTGTGTGTGTGTGTGTGTGTGTGTGTGTGTGTGTGTGTGTGTGTGTGTGTGTGTGTGTGTTGGTCTGTGTGTGTGTGTGTATGCGCGCGTGTGTATCCACATCTAAATGCATATAAACCCCACACACCCCGTCTATATACACACACACATCCGTCAGCTCACACACACACACACATTCTCCCAAATTCCCGTCATTCGCTCACGACCCACTCACGCCAATATTCCTCTTCTATCATTCCGCAGTTCCTCCTTCAAGCATCGAGATCGTGGGACGACGGAAGAACGAGCGAATAACCGAAAGAGCAGGGAATTCCATTACTCTTGAGTGTCTCGTCAAAGATTCGAAACCTGTGTCTCAAATACAGTGGTTTAGGGACGGTGCTGATATCAGTCTTGGTAAGTGTTTTGACGTCTGGAAAGTTTCGATTTCGTGTCTGTTTGTGTTTATATTTGTCTTGGAAGAAATTGGTTTGGTTATTTTTTCAGTTGTAGGTTAAATATTTTGTATTTTGTTAAGATTTGTCAGTGAAATGAATTATCGTTGGGTGGCAGTTGTTATCATAATGGGCGGAATTTGTGTTTTTGGGCATTGGAGATAATAAACAGGCCTGGATGATGTTAAAGGTTGTTTTTAGGGTTTGTGGCTCTAGATTATATTCTTTATGGTTAGCTGCATATTTTAAAATATCTAAAGCCTACAGTTTTCTTTTTTTGATCAGTCACTGTTTAAAAAATATTGATAACCAGCGCCCGATCTTACTAGTATATAAACCATTTACCTTGCGTGACCAACCAATCTCCACCAATCAGTTTTCAAGCATCTATCCATTAACTCATCCACCCTCCCTCCTCCCCACCCAAGCCGTTTCCTCCACCCCTCCACCCCGCCCCTTCCTTCCACATTTCCACCCCTCCACCCCGCCCTTCCCCCAACCCCTCACCCGCCCTTCCCCCCAACCCTCCACCCCGCCCCTTCCCCCCAAACCCCTCCACCCCCGCCCCTTCCTCCACCACTTTCCCCCTCCACCCCCTCCACCCCTCCCCTTCCCCTTCCTGCACCCCTCCACCCCTCCACCCTTCCTCCCACTTCCCCCTCCACCCCACCCCTTCTCCCCCCCCA